ATTATATTGAAACATCAAAATGATTTCAACAAAATACAAGATTATTATTGATAAACAAATACATCATTTCCTCATCAATTGTTACTTGATGACAACAGAAGTGGACATGTTTTTCTAGTGTGTCCTGGGTTTCTACATGCCCACATCTTCTGTCTTGTCTAGATCTTTCTCGAATATCCATATCGCAGTGAATTCGATTGGATTTTGGACGACCAGGCTCCCTCAATAAACTCGGATTGGTACAATCGGAAGCCAATCTTGAACCTCATCAGGGTCTTTGTCATTACCTATGGGGGGAAACTCAAATTTGTATACCTTAAAACCTTCAGATAGTAGGTATACAAGATCCACAAATGGTTATAGTATTGACGTGTATGCAAGCAAGCTGCTATCACATGGATACTTCAGCTTGAAAAAACCTGCAGTCGCACGTTCTGTCCCTTAGATTTACTCTTAACGACACAGCTTCATCCCTTGAAGAGGTTGCGGCAACTCTGTGACACGAAACATTTTCATGCCTTCTAGAGAAGCTGTTACAGACATTCCATTTGATGCAACAATTTTTTTCTATAGATCTGCAACTAATCTAGGGTGATAGACATGACCGCCTTGCATCCAGGTTTGAGCTTGTCCCCCAAGATTCGCAAAAAGCACCCCCAACGAAAATATATAGTTTTTACCAAAGCGCTACAGGTAAGTGACGTGCACCCTTTAAGGTTGAATTGATGCCTCTGCCAAGTTGGTCGTCATGTGTCCATATCGATATCCACCATCATATGCGTTCGTCCACATTTCTTTATCGATGAGGCTGATGTAATCGTATCCTTCCTCGTTCTTCGCCCGTAAATCTTGAAGCATTGATTCAAACGTTCGAGGAAGTAGTTCGTAACTGATCAAAAAATGTATAACTACTAACTTACTTTCTTTGCAAATTAAAACGATTGAAAGAAAACAAACTACATCAGTTTCACTTACTCATGCGCACAATTAATTGACACTCATCATTCTTCTTGTACCTTCCATGATAGTTCGCAGCAATGTCAGAGACAATACCTATGTTGGACAAAGGGTGGTTGCCATATTGGACCAAAAAACTCCATTGCTGCTTTGATCCCAGCTCCGCGATCTGATATGACACAGATGTTTCCTTCGTGATAACATGTGCACGTAAATTTCGGAGGAAAAAAACCCAAGAATTTATCTTCTCCTTCGACAAGAGCAAAGCAACTGGAAAAATGTTGCGATTGCCATCTTGGACAACTGTCAATAATAAAACTTGCTTGTATTTTTCATACAAGAAAGTCTTATCGATCTGGACCACAAGCTTGCAGTATTTGGCAGCATTAACGCACTGTGGGTAACTCCAAAAACCCGTAGAATTGGCTTCGATCGCGAAGAACTCGATCATTATGGTATGCATAGGAGCTTTCGAAGTCCACAATTGTCTCAGGATTCAACGTCCGACTAGCCTAAACCAACCTGGAAGTTCGTTGTAAATGCATCCCTTTGCCATGAGTTTGACAATGGCATTTTGTTTTGCCAACCAAGCTTTTTTTTATAGGAGACAGTGTACCCATACTGCGATTGTATAGCTGAATCAACACTGCAACACTATATGAGAGCTTGTTTTTACCATGGGCATGATGGCTTGGCATATCATTTCAGAGTCCAAGTTGGGATGATCTTGGTTGACCCCTCCAGCACAACATGTGTGAGGACTGTTGTATACTGTTAGTTCCCATATGTTGTTTTTCCTCTTTATTTTCGATACGCGAACCCAATTACATCTGTTTTCTCGTCGGGCACAATAGCATACATATTTTCCGGTCGCGATCGTTGACTCTGGACTGAACAGAATTACGGATATGTAATTTTTTATAGCCATCACTGCTTCTTCTTTGCTTGAAAACTCCATGCCTAAATATAACTCATCATATTTATTGATGAGTAATATCCATAGTCACCGAGATGAGGCATATTCGCAAATTCCTGGCTCGTACATTGCACATATGCAGTTTCATACATGTGTGCAGGAGGGTCAGTTTGTGCCACATTTCCTGGAACTTCATCATCATCGGAGTTAAATTGCGGTGATTCTGGTGAATGAATAGTCTAGTCTCAGCACCATCCGCATCAGGCTCACGAAGCGTTCTTCTGGTGGAGATGATGGTTCCTCCATGCCTCCACATTTAGGTCGAAGAATCTACTACTTGCACTCATTCCCCTTGACTGGAAGGCATATCGACATTGAGATTGTAGTCGGGCTGTCAACTTAATCAACTTGTTCAGCCAGCCCATAGGGAGCTAATGATTGACCCCGAACAGCACGCACTTGAACAAATGTGCATACATCTCAATAGCGGCGTCTGAATAATTACTTTGAGCTTCAACCATCATTTGAACATCATCATTGTTCGAAAGTTCGAACGCTGTATAAGTTAATGGCAACAATGATGTTGGAAATCTGTACTTCAACGACGACATTCTTCTACTACTTCCAAACATGAATATTCATCGAAATCTTCGTTATCAGCTCCTCAAGAGTTATGTTTCTCTGAATGATATTTAACACGCTCATTGATACGAAAACAACGCCGGTTTCATCTTCTCGAATTTCATCATCATAATAAACAATAGCTGAAAGTCGCGCCATTCTTTGAGTTTAAAAGTGCAGCAATATTATATCTGCAAAAAAAAAATAACTGAAACAAACCTGATTAAATAAATTATATATGAACGAAAATATAACACAATGAATTTTTACATATCAACGTAAATAATTTAAATAATATAATTTTATATTATTACCTGCACCGCAAACTATTTTGACGTATGCTCATACTTTTCAATTTTACAAAACACAAAAATTAATTGAAAATAATTAGTATAATATTTTTTCAAATAATCATAACAAACAATAAGTATAATAAAAAAGTTATAACAAATTTATAACGAAAAATCGCACGAACTTCTAAATCAAATATGAGAAAATTATAATTATTATCATTGACGGAATTGTTGTATTAATTATAAGCTTAGAGGAGAGATGTGAGGAGATGTGAGAAACTTAACGGGAGTGAAGGGTATTTATAACCATATAAGGCGCGGTACCTGCATCGCGCTATATGTAATTATTCATATAAAAGGTATAGCGCGGACCCTGATATAATTCTCAGATACCCAAGTATAGCGCTGAGCAGGGGCGGCGCTATACCCCTACGTCACGTATAGCGCGGATCAGGGGGCGTACTATACCCACATGTACGTCATGTCAGTGTATAACGCGGTACAGGGGGTGCGAATACCCTACGTAGCGCCAAATCAACATATAGCACGGGACAGGAGCGCGCTTTACTGCTACGGGTGTTAGATCAAGAAATAATTTAATGTGTTAGATCAATAAATATATCGATTACTGGTAATTTTTTTGAAAAAAACGACAATTTCTCAAACCCTCCTCCTTGTGAGGTTTCATTTTCTTCTATTGTTATTTTTGGACGGTTTTATTATGATATGTTATCTCTTTTTATTCTCTCAACTTAGAAAAAATTATTTGTGTTGATATGTCGATGTTTGAAATTTGCAGTGGCTAATCAGGCCGAGTCTTGCAATGGCGAAAAGTTTCTTCAAGCTTGACCATCCATTGGGTTGGTTTCGTTGATTCCTTCTTCTTTTTTCCTGATCTCTGTCTCTTCATTTTTCGTTGAAAATTGCTGTTGAATCTTTGTTGTGTTAAAATCAATTTGGGTTTCTGTGTTTTTATTTTTTGGGGATTAAATATCTGATTTGTTTCTTCATTGTTTAGACTTAATTTGTTTATTAAACCCTGGTTCAATTGACGTCATCTCTTTGTTAAACCGTTGATATGTTTCTTCGTTTCAACTTATCTTAAAGGGTACTATATTGAAAGAGCTAGACTGCAAGTTTTCTGTTGATGGCTACACAGATGCTTATATTTGTCCGTAATCTATTCCATGTTCTGCTATATCTTCTCGTTTTGCATTTCTATGTTGTTTTCCTGTCATTTTGTAATGATATCTGGTTGCAAAATGTTGGTATTTCTAAATTCCCTAATTTTCAGAAAAGAGGATGGATGAAGTTGCTCGCATCAGGGCGAAATATCCTGACAGAATTCCCGTAAGAATATTTCAGTTACCATATTTCCTTTTGAACATTATTTTATCCTGCATTGTTCTTTTAAAGTTCATCTTGCTTATGGGAAACCATGCAGATTATTGTTGAGAAGGCTGGAAAGAGCGACGTTCCTGATATTGATAAAAAGAGTTAGTTGCACTTGCCCCGATTAAAGTTGTCTTTGTCTTTGTTGTTTGTGTTTTCCGGTAGCTATTATTCTAATACTTGCTGTGCTTCTAAAGTGAATTGATACATGGAAACATCAATTCTTTGCCATTCGAGTTATTCAGTCTATTATTTTCCAAGCTTGCCCTGATAACCTTTTTATGTCCTTTTTTCTAAAATTCTTTTTGATTGTGGCTTAGGTATCTCGTTCCTGCTGATTTGACTGTCGGACAATTTGTCTATGTTGTCCGTAAAAGGATTAAGCTTAGTGCCGAAAAAGCTATATTTGTCTTTGTGAACAACACCCTCCTCCTACTGGTGTGATATATTATCTTCAAGTGTTATTAACCTATCGCAGAGGCTTTATGATAATTATTTTTGATTTGGGTACAGCTGCCTTGATGTCTGCAATTTATGAGGAAAACAAGGATGAAGATGGTTTCTTTATATGACTTACAGTGGAGAGAACACATTTGGTTCCTCTTTACTTCAAGCATAATGCTATCAATCTATGTAAATATCTAAAAGGAAGGTGTAAATTCGCAGTGGTACCCCACCCAATACACTAGTTTCAAGTATGATTCATGAATTATATGAAAGTTCTAAATGTTTGGAAGTCATTTTTGATATTATTCTTTCATCCCATGAACGTTATCCAGTCATTTTCCATAGTGATTGTTGGGTAGGCCATTAAAGGTACTCAATGAAACTATTTTTTATGCTTTAAGGCTGCCATTAAATTGGAGAATATAAGTCCCTCAAATGAATTGAGGAATAGATCAAAACTCAAAGCCTTGGCAGTTGCAATTTTTTCTAATTTTCATTTGGAGGAGCTTTTTCTGGCATTTACTCTTTATCCATGTTATGCCCTTGGAAACGCCAAGCTTGAAGCTGTTGGCTCCCTTCAAAGCCGCTGTTTTAAAGCCACCTTTCCCTTTGGGTTTCTTGGTGTCGTTCTTTCTTAGCTGTGGCGTCCTCATCTTCCATGGCACCAAATCCTCCGGCCCATTGATCAGCCCAGCTTGGTGCCTCACTCGCCATAGATTCTTGTTATTCTTTTATATCAGAGCAAAAACAAGTTTGTGAAACCAATACCCAATGATCATAACCTTGATTTAATTGCAACAAATCAGAAGAAAAATATGAAACCATTTCCAGCCAAATCAATGATTGAAACATAGATCCTTTTTTGGGAGTACTATAAATCATTGTTTCAAAAGCTTATTTCTCTTTTCGTGTATATTACGCTTATTGTATCATATATGATATCATACTTCGATACGAAAAAAATAATAAGAGTTTAAGAACAGTATATATATAAATAGGATCAAAACGAGGAATTGCAGAAGTAGGTTAGGAGACTATATACTCCTATGAAAGCTAAGAAGGAAGTATGTAGAAGAAATGAGACTTAAACTTGTGTATTTGTTATGAACAGCAGAAATGATAAAAAGCAATAAGTAAAGCAGAGATTAGTACGCACCTGGTGCTGGTGATGATTAACAATGGTTGCTGTGCGTGAGAACAAATTGATAACAGCAGCAGATGAACAATAATGGGATTTCTGCTCAAGAACCTTTAAAAACGCAAGAGAGAAAGGAACTAGGGATGGCTTTGTCCCTTTATTTTTTTTAAAGGACTTGCCAAATCACTTGTTCCCATCATCTGAAGCAAACTCCTTGGAGCATCTTCATTCCTGTTTCTTTTTTTCTAAAAATTACTAATAATGCACGTTGATGATTAAATATTGATGTCAAATCTTCTTTGTTGATTCATGCAATTATCTTGAGATATGATATTTATATTAACATTTGTATCCTTTTTTTTTGAATCCCATGTTATATGTTTATTTTAACTAAGAATGGCATCTAAAAAGAGTGTGTAGGCAATGAAGTGTTGGGACGGTGCTTTTTTTTTCTGGGAAAAAGGAAAAAATATATATAATGGTAGCATAAAGTGACAAGTAAGAAAAGAAATTTTATCAATATTTGATCCCTTTCATATATTTGTTACGATATTTTTTTAATTATGATTTAATTTGAAACTTTACAATTAAAATGTATTATATTTTAAATGTTTATGGTTATTTGATCCCGCAATTTATTTTATTTTCACCCTTAAAAATATTTGAAAATATCTTGATTGAAGAGAGTACGATTCATAGATCGCAATATACTTATCAATACTAACCTTAGGCATCGAGTTGTTGTGTGCAGGTTCAATTACGGGGTTTAGAAACATTGAGGATCAAATTGGAGAGAGATGAGGCACTTGGAGGATCGAGGTTATCAAGTTCTATAAATTCTTAAATCCTACAATTGAATCCATCATAATGGCTCGAGACGAGTAATGTATTCTTTTCAAATTTTGTGAAGAATTTAATTGATTGCACAGAAGATCATTTATCAATATTAATCATTAGTCATGGTTTGATCATTGCAGGTGAGGCCTTTCCCTTTAACATCCCCTAAACACCACAATTGAACACCGTAGTTCTATATTTGAATAACAATTGAAACTAGTAGTTGTTGACACTGACTGGTGTATGTTGAAAGATTTCAAGATTGGTATAGGGCCGTTTTCAAGAGTAGAAATGATTTAGGTAAAATATCCTGGTTTGGCAGCTAACTCCATTGATCATCTGCCCGGCTAAGTGCTCGATGACTTTGTTGCATCCAATTGCCATGAATTGCTGACTGTTGATGCCACAATCATTAGAAAAAAAGAAGCAGTTGCTTTGGGGTTGGATTATTAAATGCTGCTTTTCCATTGGTTTTCTTTCTAGTTGTTGATGGATGCCCCATCATGCATAAAGCAAGGCGTGGCGATTCCACAAATATATATACATTGGAATTCTGCATTTCTTATAGTTATGTTTACCTATCTTACACTTTTCAAAATAGTTCTTTGTTAAAATCTTATCGACAGGGAAAAGGTTAAACTTGGATCAGAATTAGTAAGAGAAAGGGTTCAGATGGATCTCTTGAAGATAAATAAACATCAAAATATGATTTCTTCTTTATCATCCAAGCAAAACTAAAATTGCAAGTTGAAACCAACCAAACTAGCATGGCGCAATTCATTTACCAATTAATGTGTCATACATCTCACTTTTGATTTCCTGGTAGACTTTGATTTCTTCAATTTACCAGACTTGTCATCAACACTTGTCCAAGTATAACCACTAGGAATAGCAAAAGGATCTGCAGGTTGTGCCGTTGAAGAAGAACACGTGCTGCTGCCGATGTTTGCTCACGGACAACGATCGACTGTTGCTTCGCCTTAACCATGCTGTGGACGACCACGATGAAGAAGACATTGGATCAGGGTTATTATCTGATTTTGGGCCCTCCACCGCTTGGCCTCTGCCTCCACATGGGAAAAAAGTCTAGGACTTGAGAGCGGAGTGTAGAATTGATCAGTTGATTGGAGTTCAACAAATTTTGTGAAGGTTATCACCACTCTTACTGTTGGGACGACCGGAAGTGCAAGCTGCCCCACGCCAAACAAATAATTCATCATGTTTTTTTACACAGAGTGCGAAACCAATAAAAAAACTACTACGATTCACCTTGTCCGAAAATCACTCAAGTCAAAAAGTGAAAAAGATCTCCCTATTCTAAAACGGAGATTAGACAGTTTAAACGGTTGAACTACACCTATATATAGGTCCCGCCTGAACATCCGTGATCCTGACACGTCATCATTCATGGTCCGTCCAAACGATGGTAACATGATCTAACCAGGAAAAAGATTTTTAAAAAAGGCCTCACGAAGCAAGCCTTGTTGTCTGTGGAGAAAAAGAAACCGCGGATGTGGTGGTCCCTTATATAGGGAAATCACGTTGGATCTAAAAGCGCACCGCCGAAGAAGTCGGCGTTCCGACCAGATAGACAAGCAAAGCAAAGCAAAAGCAAAAGCACGGCACAGAACTTAAAACACGCTTTTGTGTCCTATAGAAATGGTGCTACAGCAGAGGCCAGGCCCTTGCTTGCTTGACCAACGCAAAAAGACACAAAAGAGACACCCTCTAGAGACAGAAAGACATACGTGGGCCCCCTAATTTGTAAAAACAACAAAAATTATTAAAATAAAAAACTATTATACTTACTTTGACGGAAATGTTCCCGGCGGGAATTTGGTTGTCAACAGCTCTCTCATCCTTCGAACAGCTTTCACCTTGTTAGCCAAAATGTCAAGTAACGGTAATAACTCTTCTGTCTTCAATGGGAACTGTTCCGTTAACCAAACGGACGGCCGTAAACTTCACATATTCTTTCTCCTTCGTTTGCGGAGGTGGCACGGCTTTATCATCGGAAAAGTCACCGATCTACTAGGAGGCGGAGCTGAAGAAGGGAAACAACATCCACACTCCTACGACCAACTGAAATCCACTCCCTCTCTTCTCTGACAAAATTACTGTGCCTTCTCCTATCAGGCATAGCGAAATTTGGATTTCACAAACCAGAAAACCGTCTCGTCTTCGTCAAGCTCTAAGGGTAATACTTTCACTTCCCGCATTGTCGTTTTCAGAACTTGCGACTTTTCGTGACCTGAAGCTGAAAATCACGTTATGTACTTCGAAAACTTTAGCTTTCCATTCACCGACGCTCTCTGTCTTCTCTTGGCGTCTCCAGTTAGTTCTCGCTACGAGTTCCGCTCTGGTTACGTCCATCCAGGTCGGTACACGCTTGTTTGGGAACAAAACCCTGTAATATCGGATTCACTCATCGGAACTCCGGCATTTTCGAATGCGTCGAAGATTTTACGATCGTCATGGTTTAGTACTAGCAATGAAACGCTGGGGATGTTGTGGCGATGATCCCCGTCGCCGAGAAATAGAAAGCTTTGATCAGCTCGTTGGATTTTAAGCCGTCGAATCCGGCCAATGACGTATCGGCTCGGAGGTTACCGTCGCGTTTCCAGATCTTGTAGGTATCTGAAGGTGCAATTTTCCCGACGAAAGGAATAACAGAGCTTTCGAAGTGGAATGAGATTTCCATGTAGAAGTCGCATTCGGCGGAGGACGGCAATTCCGCGAGGTAAACGGCGGCGCCATTTGCACCAGGCGGAACGGTGGTGGAGTTTCAGGAGGACCAAGGCAATGTCAGAGCTCTGACGACAGAGAGCTTCCTGGAGTGGATTCCAACCTGCAGCGTTCTGGAACGACACGTCAGCGCCAGCAGCTGCGAGTTCTGGCTGCTACGGAGTCGTTTAGGCGGACTGCGAGGTGGAGGGGAGTTTCACGGAAGGGGACGTCACGCCGGTCTATAACAGCGGAAATCTGATCGGCTATGCGCTCTGACTCAGTGAGTCGCATTCGGAGTGGATGTGAGCAGGATCAGCTAGCTTGGTAGAGTGGAAAGCAGACGAGTCAAAGTAAAATGATCGCCCGAAACGACGGAGTAATGGACAGGGCTGTGCTTGTAGTCCTCCGGTTGATAGATGGAAACCTCGTCATCGTGGACGCCGATGATGATCTGGACATTGCGTCCCTATCTTCTTCACTTCACCTAATTAATTTTACCGAAGCATTTTTCTGAATTGAGTAAACCAAGGGGGAGGGGTGAAGAAAGCTGAAAATGTGTCAGGCAAAGGTACGACGGTTTGGGGATTGAGATTAAACTTGGGTTTGTGTTAACGGCAAAATTATTTTATGGGGGCAAAGAGAAGGAAAGGGACGGGTTACACGCAATCTAGGACCAACTTAAAAAATAATTATCCTCCACTTTTACTATATTCAAAATTATTTTTAGGGTAAAGTATAGTAATGGTCACTAAATTTTTTTATATCTTTTATTTAGGTCCCTTAACTTTTAAAACTTTGTAAAAGTCCTCTAACATTTATTCCTTTTGCAATATGGTCCCCGACGTTACACTGCCGTTAGTACGTTTGTAATATGGTCACTGAACTTTTTAGGCGCTTGCATTTAGGTCTCCCACTTTTAAAACTTGCAACACAATCCTTAATTTCATTCTAACCCCAAATTCCTTTTTTTTATAGGATAGAAGGCTTCAATAAAACCCCCTTCGTGATTAACGGAACTTAAAAATAGTTCCTTAATCCGCACAAGGAGGAAAAGAGTGCCCTAGGATTCATTAAACTCAAATATAACAAAGTAATACAAATAATCTCCCTCAAGAGATATAACAAGTAATACAATAAACTCAAATATAACAAAGTAATACAAACTAATCTCCCTCAAGAGATATAACAAAGTAATACAAACGAATCTATTCAAGGTGTATTTACTTATTTTTCATGTTTGTTTATATAAAATACTTCTAGTTTACAAGTCAATTAAAAAAATGCTTAAATATATAAATGACCTTAATTACATGATATTATTTTATAAAGTCTCACCAACTATTAAAAGTTACAAAATGATGTCTTAAGAGTTTTGTTTTATCAAGTCTGACTATTAAAAGTTACATAATGATCACATTATATTCGTATGTTCAAACTTGTCTCTTTATATTAAAAAAGTAATGATCGTTTGAACCAGACACTAACCGTTGAATGAAATATAATGAAATATGTAAACATCCGTAAAATTTTCAAGTTAAAAAATGTTATACAAAAAAATGAACTCC